TATTTTAATATGCAGCACTCATATTTCTTCTCATGATGCATATGGCGGTGAATATGGGAGTTCTCTATGGGGAAGTAAATGGAATACTACAAACATTTGATAAGCTGCTTTTTAAGAAGATTGAAACTGGTGGCTAGGCTTTTTTTTCCTTATTATTTTGACAAATTAAAATATATATAAATCTCATCTGTTTTCTGCTTATGATGTTCAACATTTTGTCTTTTGCATGTGAACAAATGAAAAATGCACTTGGATTTAGGTACACTGTGTCCTGGACATTTTGTCTTATAAACTAAACTGGTCTCTGAAGGGTGATGAGTTTTTGGATTGGCAGTAACTACAACATAAATAACTAGGTTACTGATGGAGTTTAGTTTTGTCTGCAGCACCAACATGTCTCTAGAATTGCAGTGAATGTTCACACAGATGCATCCATCCACCAAGGGTCTGACTTTCAAATCACCTCTATATATGGAATATGAAATATTTGTCCTTGTCCCTCCAAACCTCCCAGGAACATACTATCTCAGGGGCTCCATTCTTTCTGCCTCTAGCAGTGGTTCTCAACCTTCCTAATGCCGCGACCCTTTAATACAGTTCCTCATGTTGTGGTGACCCCCAACCATAAAATTATTTTTGTTGCTACTTCATAACTGTAATTTTGCTACTGTTATGAATAGTAATGTAAATATCTTATATGCAGGATGTATTTTTAGGGGTCATGACTCACAGGTTGAGAACCGCTGCACATCCAGATGACCATGTTGCAAGTGCCTTCCGTGTTTCTCAGGCTGCCCATAGCGCCTTTCCCGTTCCGTGGCCCTGGCATGTGCATTGGTTGCCTCCAGGTGTGTGCTGTAGGAAGTCATTGCAAAGCCAAGCTAATTAGGACCCTTTCCCACAGCAATGAACAGTAGTGTGCAGGAGACGGTTGAAGAGAAGGTGACTTAAGGACCGCAACTGGGTTTTGGAATCCAAGCATCAGATTAATGAGGCTAAAATAATCGCTGGTGAATTAATCTTTAGCAAGTAGCTACATTTTAAAACTTTACTACTAACCTCTACTTAGCTAGTGGCAGTGTATCTCTATACCCTTTCAGGACTCTACGTATGCCACTTAGTGAATTGTAGATCATTTTCTAAGCACCTTTTAAGAGAACCAGAGATTGTTAAGCACGTCAAGTAATCAACAGCTGTCTAAAATGTGATTCTTACTTTAAGAAGATAATACCTTCAACGAGATATGATGGCTCTTTATACATGGTTCTAATCATTACTATCACTACCACCACCATTATTATCACAATTATCATCATCATAGCTACTGACATTCACTCATTCATTCATTCATTCATTCATTCATTTTGTGTTATCTAGTGTCTACCCTGTATGTGCCAAACACTACAAAGTGCAAAAAATACAGCAGAGAGCAAGATGAGCAAGGTATCTGACATTATAAAGCTTCCCTTCTGGAAAATTGTGGCAGATAAAAGGAACAAATAGCTTAACACATATTGTCATATACATGAGTAAATATAATATGACATATGATATGCCCCCAAATGATAGCTTTATGAAGAAAACTTAAGCTAAGTGAGGGGAATAGGTGGAAATGGAATGTGCTTTTAGAGAAGTTGGTTGGGCAAGGCTTCCCGAGGAGGGAGCATTTGAGATGAGACCTGAGTGAGTGTGGTCTGCCCAGTGTGTGGAGGACGACCATCCCAAGCAGTTCCCTTAGTGTGAGCGTCCTTACTGCACATTGAAGTCATAAGAGTTTTTAAGTCATTTGTATCAATCCTTGCAAGATTCTAAAATAATAACCATTATTATTACAGTTCACAGTTTTTAAAAATCTGAGGCTTGAAAAATTTACAAAGCATATTTGCGATGTCATTGCTATTAAGTAGTAAATACAACCTATGGATACAATGTGTTTTAAAAGATTTTCAGAGGAAGGAAAATTATATCTGGCTTTCATAATTAGGGGAAAATCCTGAAAGAAGAGACAGTTGAGCAGGGGTGTTGAATGGTTGCGTGTCTGTAAGTGGGTGCACATGAAAGGGGTTGGAGGGAGGAGAATAGGTAACAGGACATGCGGTGGAATGGAACAGACAGAGTTCCAGTCCGTTCACCAAGTCTGCAGGCCCCAAGCTGAATGAACTGCAGACTTGCACAAGCCTTGGGCATTGAGGGGTCATTCCAGAGGAGCCACATATTCTTATGTGTGTCTTTTCAGAAGAAAAATTATTTATCATTCAAGCATGTTCTATCATTTGAAAGTGGTATATTTTATCAATTTGCTATGACTGGGGAAACTTAAATTGATTGGAAAGCATTCCAGAATTCAGGAAAGCTTTTTATATAACTGGATTTTCTTAAAGAAGAAGTATTAAAGTACAACCATTATTATGTTGGTGTACAAATCATTCCTTGATTCGTTGATTTTTTTTTATTGACTCATGAATTTATCCTAGAATATTTACTTTTAGAGCAGCATTTGATAGTGGTTATGAATGTCCTCTGAAGTCAGACTTAGGGCCCAGACTTCATGGACTGGGCCCCCAGATCTGTCACTTATTAATACAAAGTGGATTTATTTTTGAATAAATACCTCTGTAAATCCCATTTTTTTCATCCGTAAATCTGTCAAAATAATAGTAATTTCACATTATCTTTATGAGGATTATGTGAGATTATGAATATAAAGTACTCAGTATAATACCAAACACACAATAAGATTCCTAAGCTATTATTATTGTCTTTGACAATGTCAGGTACACAGCACATGGTAATTACATAATAATCTGAAGTCGTTTCTCTAATATTTTACTTTAAATTCAAGTAAAAGTGAATCAAGATCAGAATTCATTTACTTAAATTCATATTTACTCTTGATTATTTTACTGGACTGAGAAGTCACTTCCACTTTCTTAATATTATTCTCTTTTTCTTTTTCTTACACTATGAAGCAGTGGTACTGGGCTCACCTCTCTTTGAGTCAACAAATACAAATGTGTTTCTGATTTGTGGCCCAGACACCCACTTTCTATGTTTGCTGCCCTTCTTTCATTCTCTCTTACTTCCTGAGATGAGAGTTTCTGACCATCCCAGGCTTTGATTTACAGCGGTGATCTCTCCACCTGCTGCTGACGTCTGAGTGGTCTTGAAGTGATGTCTTTACATAGAGAATAACTGATCATCTCACCATGCAGATTCTAACAAAAACAAACAACAACAACACCAACAAACTCACCTGGAAACCTGCAGTAACATTGCATCCAGAAAATGGTTGATGATCTTAATACAACTATTACTTGTCTTGATTTGTTACTCAAACACTGATGATTTGAGGACCTACTGTCTTGATTTACGTGGGAAATGTGAATGGAAATATTAACCAAAATGCAAGAGATGTTGAATAACAAGCATTTATAGGCATGAAAAAGAGATGTGGGTCCAGTCACTTAAAAAAGGTGGAATTGCCATCTATTGCATTTGGTTCATGGCCTCAAAGACAAACTTACAGTGGTTGATCTCAGATGGTGTAACACAAACAAGAACAAAATACCTGGTTTCTTCTTGAGTTTATTTATTTATTTTTATTTATTTTTAGAGAGAGAGAGAGAGAAAGGGAGAAGGACAGAGAGAAAGAAAGAAACATTGATGTGAGAGAGAAACATCTACTGGTTGCCTCCCATATACATCCGGACTGGGAACTGAACCCACAACCTGGTTATATGCCCTGACCAGGTATTGAACCTGCAACCTAGCTCTGTGCCCTGACCAGGGATCAAACTTGCAACCATTTGGTGCATGGGATGATGCTCCAACCAACTGAGCCACATAGGCCAGGGCTTCTTAAGTTTATTTAGAGACTAGTTCAAGTCCAAAGCATTTGTGAAAAAATTGAATGCCAACTTCACTATATGAAAATTGGCTTCAGTGCTTTTTAATCTGTGAGTCACAGGAACCCATTTAGAGTTTATTAAATGTTTTCTATACCATTTATCTTTGTTTAAATCAGTGCTCCTCTATAGCTTCTTGGGTGATTTATGATCACATAGTGAACTTCATATTTTGTTTATTTGCCCCTAAATCATTTAAATATTTCTGAATAAAGAAGGTTCTTTAGGGGAAGGAGATAATGGGGTTGAGGGCTGAGGAAGAACCAGGAGGCTCGGTGTTTCATAAACTATATTGCAAAGAAAATCTGGCCCTCATTTCAAACCAGTGTGGTCAGTTCTGCACTTTGGTGAATGGTGCTTGCACATTTCTAGTCAAGAGTAGAACACAGATCATCTGAAATAAAGAGCTTTACTATGTGCATTGTGAGAGATGCTCAAGTTCATCCTTCCCCATCAATATCACCTCCTTGACAATATCATGCATGCTGCCCAGGGAGAGGATGCCGTTAACCATTGATAGAGAAGCACTCATTTAATTTAGTTCCTGCACCCTGTTGCTTTTATGAGTGGTGGGGGAACTGTTTAAAAAGACCTGTTGTGTTGACAACTGTGCACGGCTCTGCAGTGAGCAGCGTTTTGAATGATTTCCCCATCTCTCATCTGGTACCTCTCATCTAGTTAAAATCGTAGTCTATAGTGCTTTGAGAATGATTGTATTTAAATCTTTATTGTAAGTTCCTTTGTTGCAAGAAAAAAAACCCACGTAAATGGGAACACTTTATTTCCATAATTATTTTGCAGAGTATTTTGGCTATTATCCTAGTGTTTATAGTCAGTGCATTTAAAATCACCTACATTTTGAACAATAGGCATAAAGCTCTCCTGGTTTATCTCCTAGAGAAAAAGATTGCCTCCCGCAAAGATAGCCATTTATAATAAATGCACCTTAGAATAACTAGATGAGGTACCAAAGAGGAAAAGGATTCTAATCAGCATTCAAACTGTGATTGTGCCATGCACCAAATCATATTTTTATGAATGCATTTCTCTTGGAGCATGTATAATTATGAAACTTTTTTTTATCTCGGTAGGAGCTGGGAAGTAACAGCCCTCCACAGAGAAACTGGAAGGGGATTGCTATTGCCCTGCTGGTGATTTTAGTTGTATGCTCACTCATCACTATGTCAGTCATCCTCTTAACCCCAGGTAATCTGTCTTTATTCCTCTCTTATGACGGTATTGTGGGTGATGATTTCACATACAAATGCCTTAAGAGGGTAGCCGTATGTGGTATCTCAGGGTATATTAGTGTTGGTTGGAATAAAAAAAAAGTGCAACCAGACATTTTGCAAATGGCACAGTGATTTTGTTTAAATATCATGCAAGATATTTTGGGGGAGCTGAAATGTGAAATATGTACATGGAGAATGCCAAGATCTTTGGACTCTATTGCTACTTAGATACTTATGTTTGCTAGTTTAATAAATTCAGGGGACACTGGGTTTTATTGTGGGTTAGAGATGAGAGAGTGGAGTCTGAAAGTTTCCATATGTGGTTTATCGCCCAACTGTAGTGACAATGGTAAGGGAGGCTTTGAGGGACAAAGAGGATTAGATCAAAAGCCAATGAGCTAAGTCTCTAAAAGCTCTTTTTCTCGCTTTCCCTATACTTTTCACAGTCTAAGTTTCTCTCTGTCTAAAGAACCACTCCAGAATGCCCTTGCAATGATCTTTGGACGGTGTCCTTTCCTTTGCAATGTTTAACATACATGTGTAAATTTTCAGTAGATTTAATTCTTCTTTGGGGATTGTTTCAGTACACAGAAATTTTACTACTCTTTAGTGGGTGCTAATATGGATACCAGAGAAAGGCTGCTCACTTTTTAAAAAATATATTTTTATTATTGATTTCACAGGGGAAGGGAGAGGGAGAAAGAGATAGAAACATCAATGATGAGAGAGAATCATTGGTCAGCTGCCTTCTGCACGCCCCACACTGGGGATCGAGCCCACAATCTTGGCATGTGCCCTGACCAGGAATCAAAACGTGACCTCCCGGTTCATAGGCTGATGCTCAACCACTAAGACACGCCAGCCAGGCAAGGCTGCTCAATTTTTAAAACTCCCAAACTGTCTTCCAGAAACAAATAAATTTGGCATGCTTCTACAACCCACCCAGTGGTTCCTCAAAGACTGGACACCATATACAACTTGGAATTACAAAACATGGTCATTTCTGGTGTAGAATTGAGCTAGTTCAAAAGTCAACTGGTATTATGAAGTTCTAGCATGTAGTTGAATGTTGTGTTGCTGTTCTGTTCTGTTATTATGTAGTTCCTACCCCCAGCTTTGTTGCTTGAGAGTTCATTAAACATGTTGCCTTATGTAAAAAATGTGATTAAAAATAGATTTCTTTCAGAGTCATTTAGTCAACAATTATGATGGCTAATTATACAAATAGCAATATCAATTGTTTTAATGTGGTACTTTATGCAATTTACCTTATTTATAAAAATATAGACTTGAAATGTACAACTCCTCAAAAATATAGTTTGCAGTTCTTAATTAACATATGAAGAGATTGAGAAATTACGAGAATCAGGAAGAAGAAAAGGAAAGACAAATAATTTTAAAAGAGAAAGGAAACATTTCTTGGTAAGAGCTGGCTTATCCAGCGTTCTCTTTAGGAACTCTGTCTTAATTGCCTCGTTGGTACATCTGCAGTTCAGTGTAATTGAGCAATGGCTCCAAGATGCTTCAGAATGCCAAGAATTTTTGTTAATGGAAGATGAGCTTTCATTCAGAAAAGTGTTCCACTTAAACATAAGAATTTTAGCACAATTATTAAAAAAATGAAAGAGTCAGATAAACGGCCTCCTATTGGTAACTGTTAACCAGAAGGAGGAAATTTGTGCCATGGTGCCTGTGTGTTTCCTTCCATCCTGATTCTAGTATCTTTCCAGGTGGGTGACTCTCTTTCTCCAATTTTTTTGTTACTCACTGAGGCCATAATGACACTTTGGGATCCTTGAGTGTATAAAAAAGACCTTGTAGAATTTGCCATTCACTGAATTAAACTTCCTCTATTCAATCCTTTTCAGGTTGTCTCAATATAAAAGCACAGTATAGTTGCACTCATTTTGTCATATATTTACTCATTTATTAAAGCAAGGGCTTTGGCAAGACACACACCTTAGTTTGAGTTCTGGCTCTATGATTTACTAGTAGTTTTGGGAACTTGGCCAGTTATTTGGCCTTGTCCCTTATTTCATTCATCTGTGTTATGGGTATTACATGTAATGTCAACTTTACAGTATTATTATGAGGAATAAATGTGATCATATACTTCATGGTTTAGCATAGTTTCTAGCACAGCTGCTGTTATTCCTCTTATGATTACTATTATTCAGTAATTATTGATCACTTGACACAATACCAGACACTGTATTACATGAGGGAGATTTTCAAATGAAAGTATAACATATCTCGGGGATATAGACTTGTGATTTCCATGTTAAATTATCACAGGTAGAAATCTGGAGTCAGTCTTCAGTGGTCTGTTTGTCCATTCATGTAGGTAATTATGGAGTTCTTACAATATTATAGGTGCTCTGGTAGTTGGCTGATCACCCCTTGAATTATATTTATTGCCTCCTATCCTCCTCTTTCTCAACTACACAAAAACACAACAACCCACACATCCCCAACCTAAGGACTTAATTTCATATGAGGTTAATCATAAATGGAAGTGGAAATTATTATTTAGACTTATAGTGTACTAAGTGCATTTCACATACCACATGTCCAATTGTCTTTAGGTTTCACTATTAATTTTGGCAGATATATTATGAAATGAAAAGTAGAAGTCAGTATGCTGGGGTGGGAAAGGTATTGCTACAGAGATCAGACAACCTGTGTTCTAAACTCTGTGTTTATAAACTCAATGCTGGTAGGCCCTATAAGAATAAAAAGTTGAAGTGGATTGGTGTGATGTCAGTGGTTAGGGATGTGCTTGAGTTATAAACAAGCATAAATATTAGCCTAGTTACATGGCCTTCATGAAGGGCTCAAACAAAACATATCAGTGAAATATAAGGCCAGAAACCTAATGAGGTGTCGCCCAAGACCGGAGTCAGAAGCCTGGAATCACTCTTAGAAGTTATCAAATTAGGAAAAAAATCTGAGTTTGTTTAACCTCTAGTTCTAAAGACTAGAATGTGCATCAAGACCATTACTATGGACTTTTGAATTGGCACATGTCTTTGTGCTTGTCTGTGCACAGACTTGAGTGCTCTGATTGCACCAAGCCTTCCTCTTCTTACCCTCTGGTTTGAAGTCCCTCACCTGTGCTAGAATAGATCCACCAGGGAAAACATTCCACAGGAAGATAAGGTACACTTTTCCTCCCCTTCCTCATGGACCCTTTGCCCATCAATATGTTCCCAAGGTGCAGTTTTCTAGGTAAAACCACTGGAAACTTTCAACCAGGAAGGAGAATACATATCAGGAGAGGAAACTTCTGATCTTGAAATTATTCAGTAAGGTAAAAATATAACTAGACCTTAGTACAAAGGGCTGACTCAAGGACAATCCTTCCAATTAGGATAGAAGTCAAAAATGTATATGTATTTCATAGCTATATGAGCTTGAGCAAATCAGCTATCTCCTTTAACGTCAAGTTTTTTTGTTGAAGAAAAGGGCATCTTTGGTTTGTGGCAATGGGAAGTGATCTTTTAAAGTTTATCACAGCTTTAATATCTATGATCTAATCTATATATGTAAAAGCCTAAGTGACCGGACAACCAGACGACTGGCCAGTAGCTATGACATGCACTGACCACCAGGGGAAGACGCTCAATTCAGGAGCTGCCCTCTGGTGGTCAGTGTGCTCCCACAGTGGGAGCACTGCTCAGCTGACAGACAGATGCCAGACGCCTGGCTCATGGCTGGCTAGAGCAGCTATGGCAGCACAAGCCTCTCCCACGGACACTCCCCCTGCACACCTGTGGGCGGGCGCTGCGCAGCGCCCAGCCTGGGCTCAGGCTCCTCCCCGGCCTCCTGCTGCAACATGAAGTAGTGCGGGATGGACGCAAACAGCAGGCCCGACGAGCTGGCGGGTAATGCCGGGCTGCGGCAGCACGGAGGTCCACTGATCCCCACAGGCCAAGCTGAGGAACCCCACTGCTGCATGAATTCATGCACCAGGCCTCTAGTATAATAATAATGACAACAATAATAGTGGCTTATTTGATTAGCAGATTAAACCTGGTGAGCTCTTTCACTAAGCCTCTTCTGCCTTGAAAATATATTTAGTGGGTTTTTTTTTGGGGGGGGGTGTGGAACATATACAAAAAGTTATCTAGTCTAAGACAGGATTTAGAAACTGTTTTGCTCAAAATAGCATCACATTTTTCAGGTAAGTGCTAAGGAATGCAAGCCTATAACCAAAGAAACACATGTTCATTGTAATTTTGGTTTGATTGCAAATTTTATTACAGAAGTAATTTGACACAGGTGTCTTATTTTCCAAATTGTCAACAAATTATCTGCCATGTGAAGAGAAGTCCTAATTATTTTTGAAGAGTGGATTAACCATTCATGTATTACTTTAACAAATGACTATTTCTGAAAGGAACAAATTATTCAGTCCAATTTTTTTCTGATTAAAAAACAGACTTTGTTGAATGTGTTGATCATCCCACTCTTTTTGTTGTTGTACTGAGTTCATTTAAAGAAAAAAAGAGTACTTGCATTTATTTTCATAATATATTTCTATGAGATCAGTAATTATACTCTACACATGTGTGAGTGTGTGTTCATGCTTAAAGCTGTGGAAAGCAGTCTTATGTAGCTATGCATTTACTTTGCAGTATCATATTCCTATGTAATATGTACAATGAGAATGACCATTGTCAGGAGACAGTTCATGCACCATAGTTACCTATATGGAGCTATTTGAGAAGAGAGATACCTCTTTTATGAGTTACAAAGTATTTGGTAGAGGATATTGATCAAGCTACTCAGTCCCTTGCCACCTGTGGACTGTGTATATTCCCCCAATTCTTCAGCAACAGTGACCTGTTGCCCTTGGATTGATGTGTGTAATCAGTCAGTGTCAAAACAGGGTCATCAGGTTAATTTACTAGCATGGCTGACTAAAGACAAAGTTGTAAAGCAGTGAAATTGTGTCTTATTCGCTTTAGCTCT